TCATCTATCCCACTATTGTCTTGAGTGCTCCCTCCCAGAACTTGTGATCTTCAGTCTTTGCTCTAGAGAATGGATTCTACTCTCTAATAGTAATTTGACACAGTAACAGTAGTTTAGCAAGTGTTCTCCTTATATTGTTAAATGGTGTCAATACACGTGTAATGGCCTGTGGAAATGTCCTTGAGAAACAGGAGGAGGAGGAGCAGACTAGGCAACGGTCAGATAAGAGGCAGCTTGGCCCGGAGAAGCAATGGGGAATGTTAAACACCTCAGAACCCCCTCCTCCCAGTTTCATGGAGCATAGAGGTAAGGGGGAAGAGATGTAATTTCAGGCTTGGAAGAGTCCATTACTGTAATGTTACAATAAAGGCATTGTTAGTACTCATGGTTAGTGCTTCTCTGGACTACCTCATCGTGAGTAGAAAATCCCTCATGAATAAGCAAAGAATGTGGGTTGCAGGTTATGTGGGTTTCATGATTAGGAAGTGCAGATGTTTTTATTTGTTTTATTCTTCACAGGAAATACAAAGATAAGTATGTGTCACATAGGCATGCCATCATCTGTTTGTAGTACTCGGGCTGCCTTCAGCACGCTATTAGTCACATTAATCTGCTAGCACAAGCCCTTAAGATGAAACCCATTGCAGGAATGTCCTTTTCCTTGTGAGTTTCTCTCTTCAAAGTAGACCACCTAAAAGAGATTAAGCAGAAAAGCCTATAAACTCCTGTGATAATTCTTGATAATTTTCAGGACTGTAAAAATGAGTGCTGCGAAGCTGCAACTTGTAAGCTAAAACCTGGTGCAAAGTGTGGATATGGCCAGTGTTGTGAGAATTGCCAGGTAAGTCTTGCTTATTGTTAACAGTAGGAGAGATTTTACCCTGCTATTTATTAGCCAAATGAAAATGTAATATCTCTTGGGTGCTTGCTGTGATCAAAAACATGTTAACCCTATTCTTATCCCTTCTTCCAGTTTATCTGACCCTTATGAACATGTCCATGTGGAGCACATTTTAGCAAAACTTCAGCACTGCATTGTCTCAGTCTAAAATACATTCCTTTGGCATGTTGATTCACTTCTGCGGAGATAATATATATCCTTC